GAACGGTAAAAGGGTTTGTAATACATACCAGCTGACAAATGGATTTCGTGTACAAGTAAAGGTAAGACCATAAACTTTTATTATTTCTAGTTAGAAATAAGCTCAACTGGAATAAATTTTAACCTCAAATAAATATGGGTCACGTTTGTGTGAAGAATGCTGATATGAGATATAAAACACAACACATTGTCTGTTAGACAATTTGTTAACGGTTCATTTGTATTTGTAAATCTGACTGTAAAAGAGTCAGTGCTTCACCAGCTGTCAACCTCACCAAACGTCACTGGGAAATATACATACATACAGTTTAGATGCAGTTTTTCAGATAGATACATATATGTTATATGTGCAGAAGGTCTTGGTAGGCGTGCACATCCTCACAAAGGCTGATGTATGATGTCACAGTGTCAGTGAGTTCATCCAGGTCTGTAGCTGCAGTCTCAAATACACTCCAGTCTGTGCAGTCAAAGCAGGCCTGTAGCTCTGACTTAGCCTCCTCAGTCCATCTCTTCACTGTTTTGACCACAGGCTTCGAATCTTTAAGTTTCTGCCTGTAGGTTGGAATAAGATGGACCATACAGTAATCAGAGAGATGGGGGGCTGCACGGGGGACAGAGTGATAGGCAGCTTTTATTACCATGTAGCAGTGGTGCAATGTGTTTTTGTCCCTGGTAGGACAACCGACATGCTGTCTGTATTTGGGCAGTAAGTGGGGGAAATTTGCTCTGTTAAAATCTCCTAGAACAGTAAGTTTGGAGTAAGGATGTTTTGGTATAATTAGTATTTTTAATGTAATGGAGAATGTTCCCTCAACACTTAGTGATGGTGCAGACCTACATGGTTGAGTGTAGGCATGGCTTTTAACACCGTAAAAGAGGGTATCATATGGGTTTGATATTGATTTCCAATATCAAAACTTTCATTTCTTAATTTTCCAGAACTTAAAGAAACTCCATGCTGAATTTGTGCCATTTGTGGTCACATGCAAACCAGCTGAAACGGATTAAGGCAGGAAAGTCAGCAGCAACCACATTTTGTTCTTACGAAACAGTTGCATGCCACAGAATGTAGCTGGCAATGCTGACTTGGCAGTTCATCATTTATGATCCTATATTTTCTTATGCTAAGGAACATATAATCTTAATGTGGATCAGCTCATCTGTCTAGCTGCTTTCAGTGAGTTGTAGTGTTTACAAGAGTTTGTTGAGGAAATAAAACCAGGTTAAACCAGCATGCGAGAAAGCAGGTCTATTTTAGGCTAGACCAAAATCACATGACATCACTGAGGATAATGCAAACATTAAAGAGTACATTATGTTACAATAAAAATGTAATGAGGAAGTCATGTAAGGATAAATTCAAACATCAGTACCAAAGGGGAAACAAGCTCTATTCACACCCCAATATGCTTATACAGAAGTCATGTGCTGGACAGTCATCTGACGTTCTAGCGATATAATGAAGCACACACACTCCCTCTCCTTTCAGCTTGCAGTGCAAACACACATGCTCATTTCCATTACTTCACAACGTATCTGGACGCTGCTCATCAAGCTGCCAGCAATGTCAATGACTGGCATGAGATGCTGACAGACAATAACTGCTGCCTTCTCACAACAAAAATCTGACTGTCAACATCTATTATCGCCTCTTCTACAGCTTTTTGGAGCAGAGAAATCAGAATAAAATGTTTTACTACCGATAAATGTTCTGTCATGTGTGCTGCTAAAAAAGGATGATGTGTTACATATTTGAGATTTTATCATCAAAATCTATTTTTAAAAGTATTCCAACCAACTAGAACAGAAGATTCTTTCTTCTGCCAGGACCGTGGCCTCCTTAAACAAATCAGACTATGGTGACAGACATTCTGTACTTTGTCTGGCTAGCATTGTATGGTATGATGTGGAAAACATGGCAATGGCATGACACCTGCAGATCTGTCTGAAGGAAGTTAGGGATCATGATGCAGAGTTGGGATTAGGGAGTGATCCTTTATATTTAGTTTGCTGTCAACCACGTAGGCGTGCCTGTAACCCAGTATGCTTTACAGTCCTCTCATGGACCATAATCATCTCAAGTGAGAGTCTACCAAGGTGACTCCGCGGGATTTGTTTCCCACTCTGTGTTTGTGCAAAATTACATATGGGTCACTGCAGATATGGGTCAGTGGTTCCGTTATGCACTCTAGCTATTCTGAGTGTTTGTTTATCCTCCTTGGAGCAAGCTACTCACTCCTGCCTTCATGGTGCATCACACAATTGTTGATGTGCAAGAAGGAAAGAAGAGCCACGATACAAAATAGCACCTGCAACTTAAGATTTCTGTTCTTTCATCATGTGCTTATGAACCAAATATATTATCTACTGGGCTTTCAGACAACTCAAAAATTAAGTGTGTCATCCAAAGCAGGGGATTCAACCCCACAGGCATTTGCAAACTGATCTAAATGTAAGCGAGTGTGGACATGTAAACTGACCCAGTGCCGTGCTGTTAATTTACATGTGCAGCCTTGTGAAGACAGCCAGTGAAAGCATGCTAGTCTGAGAGCAGAGCTCATTGTACTTTACCATGGATGTTGCCATTAAGGGTTTACATTTTTAAGGCATTCTTCTATTTGTGTAATATCATATTTAATCTTGTTTGTGCACATATCTTTTTTTTTTTTACTAAGACTGATCCTCTATTTGTAAATCCTTCAGAAGTTTGACTTTTTATTTGCTTTTGTTTGTTTGTTTGTTTTGCAGAGCTCTCACACTTGTTAGTGAGAAGTTAAACCTGTAGCAGACAAATAATCAAGAAGTATAAAAACAATTTATGGCACATTGTGTGAAAAGAATGAAACAAACAAATGGATTTCACCAAAACACTGTTTGTGTTGTACCTGAAAGTGGTTCCTTCTTCCTACATTGTCCTGGTAACTCACCTCTTTGGGCCCAGACCAGCCTGGATGCGTGTGGCATTGTATCGCTGGGCTGCACTTTCATGTCCATGACAGGCTTGCCGGACATAATGTTCACCTTTTGGGCATGAAACATTGTTATGTGATGGCTGAGTGTCTCCTACAATTCTCTGATAATCCACCTGCTGGCTTTCCCTCACACCATCATGACCATATTCCTCCATTGTCTTCCAAGGTCAGTCTCTGAATCCACTGGCTCTTTAGCCTTGTACAGCCATTTGTTGCTGTACAAAGTCAGTGAAAATATCCAACTGTTGAAAGTTACATTTAAGTCAAAACATAAAAGACAAACCTCTTAAATCCATGAATATATGTGAGCTTCATGATCCAAGTTTAATAAAAGTTTGAAGGAGTTACTATTTGCAAAAGAAAATGCAAACTCTCCATTTGTTTCTATCCTTATCTGAATTCCAGTGTCTCCTCTATTTACTCTGCTGCTGCTGCCTTCCAGACTAGATATGAGGCCAAGTCTTCCCAGAGAGGAAACCAGAAAAAACAAAACACCCGTGTCAGCTTTCTTCAGCTGCCTGAGCACAGGATGCACCTGCCTACAAAAAGGCTCCAGTCACCTCTAGGCGTGTCGATAGAGGGTGTCACCTAGGAGTTTCTCCCACTGAGAGGGTGTCGCTGTGGAAATTATGCCAGCAGTGGAGCGTTGTTGGGGAGAGGTGTCTCTCAAAATCTTAAAGGAGAAATTCTGTCATGAAGGTGGAGGGTAATGGAAAAGGAGAAGAGCCCAGCACTGTACTTATATGTGGGATAAGGCAATCGTTGCCCTGAACGTTTCTCTACAAGTCGATACTTTCTGCTGAGTGCTCCATGGGTTAATCTGGCTTTCTATCAGTGGCACCACACCACGGTCACAAAGAGGATTTCAGAATTAGAATGAGTAGCCATAGTGTTGCTGTGCAAAGAGAGCAGCACTTTTTTTACAGCACAAACCACAAGACGTGGTTGTGGTGTGTTATTTTTATTTATCCTATTGGG